CTCGGCATAAAGCCCTGATCTAGCATGACGTCACGTCTTAGCATCCGACGGCGCCAAATAACCATGGTCAAACACGATCACAAGTCTACCTCCAAATACCATAACAGAGCACTACCGGTGACCGTTGGCGATTCCATGGCAAGCCATTGTTCAACAACTTCATGGTACACGACAGCACCTTAAAATATCCTCCCACCACCCGCCCATACAGTCTCATCGTGTGAGAAACAAATTGAAATTCTCAACCGGAAAATCCCGAAAAAAAATCCCAAAAACAATCAAGGTCCGGTTTGGCGCTAGGCGTATGTACGCACTTGAACAGCTGTTGGTCCTGCTGTGTTGCAAAGCTGTTTGCCCTACGCATCACATCTATCCGCGTGTGCAACATCCAACAACCTACTCGGAGGACGGACGCCGTACCTCCTGTCAAAAGGCTTTCTTTGCAATACTCTGCAATGCGTGTGCAACTCATCTGTTCATGTTGAAGTCCGTCGAACTCGAAACGAAGCTGCTGTGCCTAAACGTCGTTTGACTCTGCGTGTGTGTGTTTGCCCCGACTGCTCTGGGCACCAATCTACACATAATTTGGCGAATCAGGCGCCAGAGTCACGTAGGAGGAGAGCGCACACAAGAATTTTTTGCTTGAATTCTAGTGGTTGATACTTCGGGGTAATTAGCCTACACACGTCATTCGATTTTGATAGACCAAACTCGAAGCAGTGGTGTTTCACAATGGAGCCCCTTGCACTCCCCAGATTTGTCCTTGAACCCAATTAAGAGGCGCAAGGATAATCTAATATCCATAGTGTCAGTAGCTGTATCTGTTACAAGAGATGAAACACACATCGCGTCCACTGCCTCCAACGGACCCTACCCGGGTAAGAGAGGAGAACGGGGGACGTACTCACCCTAGCGCCAGGCAACCTAGGGCGGAGACCCACGCGGTTTTTCTGGAGCACCCTCGGGTTTTTTGCGCTGGCGTTGTCATTGTGGTCGGTGTCGGTGTCGGTGTCGCTTGCGTACCCGTGGTCGCTGTTGCTTGATTTCTTCGCGAGGGGGAGGGGGCCTCGAGATCGTTCGCGCGAGCTCTCGCGGCCAGGAGCCGATCAGAAGCGTCGCCGTACCCGCCTTCCTCCCTGCGTCGTTCCCCAGCGTAATGATTAATTCCGGGTTGCCAGCGCTTCGTTCACCGATCTGTCAAACATGTTGCACTTATGTAGACAATATCGGCGACAATGCCAGACGTGCGAGTGGAATCTTTTGCCTCAGCTGTGTGTATAAACCGCCTGCCCAGCTCGGCCCGTGCGGTGCTCTCCTCAGATAAACGTTCGTCAGTGTAATTCGAAGTTCCGCCAATCCATTACCCTGGGTTGGCTGTCGAACGAAACCGTTGGTTTCGACGCGCGCAGTATAGTACACGCATGCATGCTGTGCATAAGTATGCGATTTCAGGAACCGATCTTCGAGGCAGGAATGAATGTAGCAAATATTCATGACTGCGCTGGCATTTCGCCAAGATGGGAGGGGCCATCTCACGGCGGTTCAACGCCAGGAGGGAAGGTTCGTGGTCGTACAACGGTGTCCACAACGTCAGGACTTTCGCGGTCTCAAAGCTGAAAGCAGGCGGGCGTGTGGGACACCAGCCACCAACGCTTCGGCTGCTCGTGAAAACATCGTTACGGCGAAGGCAGAGAAGTTCTATCATTGCTACCTTCAAAGCAGCTTCCTGAAATATCTCGCCAGTCGTATCTAGAGACGCGTTCCGACCTCCCCGCTCTGCTTGGCTACATGAGGAAATACACAGAAGGATCCGGCGCGGTACCCTACATTTTTTTTTTGTTCTCCCATCATTGGACTCTGTCGTCTGCCCCTCTGGCCCCTATCCTCCACTTCTACCAGCTAGACGACCCAACCGGGGTCACATGTACACGTGCAGTTGCCAGAAAAAAAAAAGTGCGAGATACAGCAGAGCAGGGAGGATACCGGTGCAGCACGCACGTCGTGCATGATGATCTCCCACCGGGTCCCCGGAGCGCCATATAATGAGTCAACGCAGGCGCTTCTACAACAAGTTGGGGGTTGTAGCTACACAAGAGGGCGTCGGGCTACATCTTCAACAGTCCGGCATACAACAGCCAGCTGTCCTTCAACTACTACTGTATAACGCTACCGAACAACTTGAACCGCTTGTTGTAAGATCACCAATCAATCACTTTCTTTCTTGTGGACGCGGGTTTTATCGAGCCTCATACGCATGGACTACGTGTAGATACGCCTTCCCGCTTCCTTGGGCACCACATTGCTTCATACGGACCAGGCACAAGGGGCGCGAAATGGAGGCGGTCACTGCTCGTTCTCCTGGGTGTCGTCCGGCCTCGATCATGCGCTCAATGAGGCTGGATTGTTCAAGTTCAGTCGCGGCGAAATTTGCGGGGAAAGTAAACATATGGTCCAACATAGTCTAGTCTACAAAGTTTTTTTACCGTCGGATCAAATGTACGAGATCTGCCGTGACCAAGAAACAAAGAGAGGCTACGCACACTAAGAGGGTGGTCAGATACCGTGATTTCCGCGCGTTGTGTCGCTCCACCGACAACAAACGCGAAGGTTGGACCGTCGGGAACCAAAACATCAACTTGACGGGTTGATGGGGCGGGGAAAAGAGCGGCAAAAAAATCCGCCGACCGCTGTATCGCGTATCCCTGGTGATTTCTCTCACCGTGAGGAGACGGAAACGGACCAGGTAGTCGCCATGATGATACAGCACGTTCGGCAAGAGGTGGTTAGGCGCTTCCCCGATACCCTTTCCTTGCTGTTTATTGACTTTTTTCTCTGGCTCTCCCTGTTCGCGATCTCTGCACCGGGTAACTGGACGATCTGTGTGAAATGGATGATGGATTGCTGCAGCCAGGGATAGATTGCCGGGGGCCAAAAAAAAAAAGGCCGAGAGGTTCTCTCGAATCGGCACGAGATCGACCGCGCGAGCGTGCTGTGTGTGCTTACGCGCTCTCGCCCGCCCTCCTGCTTGTACACCCACAAGGTCGGAGGGGCGAGGACAAGCGCCACCTTGACTTAAGTACGTGGTTGGCTGTTGCTGCCGTTTCCGTGGGCTACGGTTACCTCTTCCGTGAACAAACACGTCCGTGCCATTGCGTCCACTACACCCTAGCGGATACGAGTACCAGGGGCGGGGACATCATCGCGCGGGAGAGGCGGGGGGGCGGGGGAGGAAGTCATGATACCGAGACGACAGGTACCCCTGGTACTGGCTCGGGCACGCCGACGCCGAGCGGTGACCCACCGCTATCAGCACTCGGTGGCCGCAGTGCCAACGCCACACAGGTCCTTCAGCGGCAGCTGCAGTCATGAATCTGTGACGGGTATGGACGAAAACCCCACCGACAGCGAGTTGATGCGGCTGGAGGAGGAGTACGCTACGCTCAAAGTGAACTGGTTCCCGGGCCACATGGTGAAGGCCACCAAGGTCATCCGGGAGAAGCTCAAGCAGGTGCTGTGTGCTGTTGGGCCAGGGCCAATGCCGTCGTCAACAGGGACGATGTTTAATGTGTGGTGGTATGACTGTTTTGTTGCCATTCTGGCCACATGGTCACGCCGCTGTACTGCATGCGTAGTCTGGCCTACGTACTGCTGTAGTAGCCTCTGAGCTTTCGAGTGGGAAGCTACAGTCAATGTTTGTTTTCTAATCGTGTGTGCTCAGACCGCTGATGTATGCCATATTAGCCTATTGGCAAGCACATGAAGCTCTGCTGTGTGTGTTGCACTGCTGAATGGCGTAGGCAGATCATGCCGCCCCCAACCCCCAATCAATTTTGTCGAATACAGTGGGTGGCCCGATATAGTGCCGGTTGCCGGTATAGTGCCGGTGTTTTCGGCTCGCACACACCGGAATATCAAGTCTTTCTGTACTCTGAATAGTGCCGGTGCCCGGTATAGTGCCGCTTTGCTCTCTGAACACATACCGGCACTATAGAGGGCCCCCTACTGTACGGCGAACGCTGTACAGCAGTAGCCCACCGTTTCGAAAAGTTACGGCAAGGTCGAGTTGACACGGTGCTCAGATACTACTCGAGGTACAATTGAAGTATGGATGACGCTCTTGTATGTCTACGTTTGACGTGGGATATTTTGCCTTCAAGCTCCATGGGCGGAGAAACTACCCGAGTTGCCAATCAATAAACCAGACTTCCGCCGTGCTCTTTCTCCGCATGGCCTGAAATTGGGGACCCTGCAATCCGGATGGGTGTGCCCATTATTGTTCGCACGCTCCCGTCGAGACAGGTCATGTCGCTTTTTTGGGCGGGACACCGTGGTATATCATTTTTGTTCATCGGCAATGTCTTGTGTGTTCTGTGGTGTCATCCTTATTTATTCATGGACATCATGGATAGGTGGACATGGTCTTCGAGGTTCGCGATGCGAGGATACCCTTCACCTCGGCGAACCAAGACTTGGACAAGATCGTCGGGCCGAGCAAGGCGCGGCTCATCGTCCTCAACAAGGCGAGAGCAAGACAGTGTGTCATAGCTATGTGCCGTGTGGGTGGTCGACGGGCGAGCGCGTGTGTCTTTTGTGCCGTTTGGTGATTGATAAGCGCTTCTTGGCAACGCTGTGTGAACAAGTCGGACCGAGTCTGCGCTGTCCGATTCGCAACCGAGCGCGCCTCAGCGTTGCTCGGCGACGCGCGAACCGGAGATCTGCGGGACAGTTTGCTGCTTGTGTCACGGCTTCGACCGTCACACATAAATTACTGCCTTGTTTAGTATTTTACGTTGTTGTTCGGTGTTGGGTACTGATGTTTGTTGATTGATCATGAGCGCGTCTGCGGTTCATATTCATGTTTTTTTTTTGCTCAATCTTCATCGACTCCAGGTGTACCTCGACATACCTTCGTGGTCACCGAAGCAAGGTTTATGGGCAATTCGCTCACAATGCTTCGTATGATTGTTAGCTGCGCCGAAGAAAACGACCCCTTCATTGGCGTTGCTGCATCCGAAGCCAACGGCTTGACAGGGCATAAGCATCGACTGACCAGTCTTGCTTGTTGGTGTAACGACTTGTGTGCTGCTTGCCACCAACAATATTGTTGCTGTCTATGATGACATCGGCGCGATTATTTTCCCCCCGTCACTCCCCTACTGTCGACGATGACGGGAACTAGGCCGACCTCAGCAACCACGCCTTGGAGCAACGTGTCCTTCAGCGCTTCAAAGAGCAGGTGCGCGCAGCAAGGCGCCTTTTCTTCTCTCGGTTTTGTTTTCCTGGTACCGGCAGGTGCCTTGTAGCCGTGCGTGACTTCCCCGCGTTGGTATATTCTCTGTGGTCGACCTATGACTCCGCTTCCTTTGCTTTTTGTCGGCCGGGCATCCCCTTATTCCCTTCTCCCCACACAACACGCGTCCGCACAACCGAGCCGACACAATTCCGTGCGTGATAGTGCCGTGCTTCGTGGGCGAACCTCACGCACTACGTGCCAGCCACACGGTCACCTTGGTTGGCCGCGCAGCCTGGGTTTGTACAGAGTAGAGGCTAGACCTCCACCGCAGCTCTCGTTCAGGCACGCCCCCGCCTGATCAACCAACCCTTCCCCCTGTTCTGCAGGGAAATTGAAGTAGGTGCCAGATGCTCGCGGTAACAAAGAGTTCTTAGCTGCTCTCCAAAGCGGCTCACGGGTCCCCCGACAGCCCACCCCCGCCCGTTAGAGGCCGATTTCAAATAAAGCGCCTAATCAACGCTGCCTAGTCTGCAGTAGCGCCAGAACCCGTTTCATATGCCACCGTCACGCTCACCACCACAGGGCAAGGCCGCCGTGTACGCCTGCGGGCGAACGGGCACCAACGTAAACAAGCTGCTGGCGTGGGCCAGAGAGCGGGGGGCCAGGAGGGGGGAGTTTTCGACCACGGGGGCCATCGCGATGGTGGTTGGCATGCCCAACGTTGGCAAGTCCAGCCTGATAAACCTTCTCCGCGGCAAAGCCAACTGGAGCGGGAGTGGAGGAGGGGATGGAGAGGGAGCCAAGCAGGTGTGGTCTGTGGAGGGTTGGGGGGGTGGTTGTTGAGGGGGGGCAGATACTGCGCTTCTTTCTTAAGTGCAGCTTGTTGTTCTGGTTGTTGGTGCCTTAAGGGGGCGTTATTCTTTGGTGCTGCTCATTGATGAGCGTGATCAGGTAGGAGATGAGGTCCGTTTTGTGACGTGGGTGGGTGGGACGGACAAGTAAGGCCTTGACGTGGGCATCGCTGAGTTGCAGTCTACGGGTGAGCATGCCTCTGTGCTCAAGGTTCTAGTCGAGTTGCAGCCCCGAGACCTATTACCCAGACTCAGTCGAGTTGCAGCCCCGAGACCAATTGCCCAGACTCAGGAGGACACAATCCTTGTGTGTGTTTTTGAGCAACCGTAGACCAGATCTCTCTGTTTTGTCTTCGGAACCTTTCTTCTGCATTTTGTTTCCCCAGGTGCAATCTGCGGTACACGCCATGCTCGATCGCCGCGAATCCAGTTTTTTTGGACGTGTGAAAACCGTGCTCCGCTCAACCCATAGCGACCACCGTGGCGGCGAGCCGGAAATGTCTCCCACACCCTGCCTCCACCCCCCAAACACCTTCAGATACTTCACGCTCGAATAGAACGCGCGCTTATTCCACAAGCTTTCATCGTAGCAACCGTCCCGCCCTCGCCGCCCCTTTTTCTCCTCTCCGCCTTTGCCGTGCCGTACCTTCACGCGAGGTGGCCCGCGTGGGTGCGATGCCCGGCGTCACCCGCCAAGTGTCGGCCTTCCGTATCGCGTCCAACCCGCCACTCTACCTGGTGGACACGCCGGGAGTCATGGTGCCGCGGGTGGAGAGCAAGACGGCGGGACTGTTCCTCGCGCTCACCCGGGCGGTCCCTGATTCTGCGGTGCCCCCCGATGTGCTGGTGGGGTTCATGCTGCGGGTCGTGAGGTCCCGGAGGTCTTCCGGTGCACGGGACCGTTCGGTGACGGCGCCTTCGGCTCCGAGGGCGACGTCGAGGGCAGGTTCGTTTCGAGTTTGGGGGAAAGGGCGGGACTGTACGGTACAACCAATGCATGAGCTACATAAGATTCGATTTTTTTGCCGGAAACACCTGAGGCTTCCACATTCCAAGTCCCTTTTCCGACGATGTGGACCGGCATTCTGATGCAATGTAATGCTTTAGTTCGTGATTCACCCACAGCAGTCAATCCGAACAACTCTTATCATTCGAACCTGTGGTCATCATTGCCCCGCCCCCCCCCCTGCTTGCACTGTTTGTAAGAAGGCAAGGCTTGTGGCGGTAAGGTGAGAGTAGAAATCGTGTGAGACCGAGTTCTGCTCGGCCCTGAGAAGGCAGACCACAGGGCACGAGAAAACCGCTGAAAATGGGAGATTGTTCACTGCCTGCCCCCAAGACAAGACAATCGTTGGCAGTTTCTCGTTTCACCGATTCATCCATTACCCTAGCGACGATGCGACGCCCGGGCCAAGTCGAATATTATAAATTATCCCGATGTGACCCTGCTCCCTCTTGTTTCTTTTCCCCATTGTTTCATCCTTCTTCGTGGGGCATACACACACCTACACGTCAAACGCGCGGGGACGCAGCGGCGAGGAGACCCGCCTCGCAGCCTAGCCCTTCCAAAGCCATCGCGGCGTGGCTATTGCAACCAGCGGGGAAGGCCGAGCGAACAACAACGGATGCAAACGGCGCCACCGGGCCGTCGATTTCCGACGACGACGAAACCTCTGCCGTCGGAAAACACGGGAAGCAGCGGCAAGCCGACCGCGAGTACACCTCGGAACCCGGCGACGACGAAAAAGAAGACAGGGGAGACTGGGAACGGGAGGACGACATGGAGGCGTTGCTGGAGGCGGTGGAGCGGGAGAGCGGGGCGGAGGGGAAGCCGGCCCTGGAAGCGCGGCGGATCTGCTGCCGGTTCCTGCTGGACGCCTTCCGGGACGGACAGTTCGGGAGGATCACCCTCGACAGCGTGCCCCGACGCCGCGTCTTAAAAACAAACACTGCGGCGGAATTGGCCTCCGGACCACTACCCCCGGGGTGGGCGCAGCTGGTGGCGCGCCGGGGGAAAGACAGGGGGCGGGCGGAGGCGGGGCGGGTAGTGCGAGAGGGGCGGCGGCCTTCTGCTTCGCAGGAAAGCGACCTCGCTGAAAGGCTGGTGCGGGACTGGTCGAGCGCGGACGCGTGGGAGGGGGCAGACGCAGATGCGAGGCGGACTTGATTGGGGTTGGTTTATGTTTTGCCTTGCTTTAAGGTCGGTGGGAAGCACTTGAGCAACCGTTTCATTACACAGGCTGCGGTGTGGTAAATTTTGAAGGAGGGCGAAGATGGACTTTCGCGCCCGGTTTTGCGGTGTTTGCGTTCACGTCGACCTTGCTGTTATTCCGAATTACAATGGATTTCTTTAGCAACATACCTTATTTTCAGGCAGAGGAAATGTGTTCACCATGAATAACAAAGGCCTCCAGAGCGCGTAAAATTCCCTGGGGCGGAATTCAACGAACGAGTGAATGACGCGCGTTTCGCCAGGAACGTGCTTGCGTTCCGTTCCGAGTATAACATAACGAATCTCGGAAACAAGAGCTCAAAGCGGAACGTGTCCATCAACCAAACCATCGGAGCTTCCTTCTGCGCGCAAGAACATCGCAGCATGAGGAGCCGCGTGCGATCCGCAGAAGGCTTTCGGGTCTACCAGACGCCAGAGGTGTACACGCTTCTCGTCTTTACGTATCGCCACAAAGGTGGTGTCGTGCCGTTCGACTCCCGTTCCGTCCGTCATGTGCATCCGGCGGTTTTCACGACAGCGAAAACAAACGACACAGAAAACCAAACCATAGCTAGAAGATATTAACGCTTCATTACATACGCAACAGCAGTCCTTCCTGACCTTGTTTGCCAAAGCTGATCGCCCGTCAACCACGGAAACGGCCAGAACAGGCAAGGGTTAGCATCCCACGTCCAGAAGATTTTCTTTCCTGCACATAAACAGAGAGCAGCCGGCCAGAAGCGCGCTTTTTCTCTCTCATGAACAATCTGCTCTCTCTATTTATCGTGCCACAACGCGTGCCTGCCGCCGCCGCCGCCACTAGAGCGAGGAGCTACCCTTGCGGCTCCAAACCCTAACCTTTGGGCCGAACGCCGCCTCCTTGCCAAGAGCAAACCCCATATTGCTGTCACACCACATAAAGCATCATCCCCCAATGATCAACACACGTCCACTCACACAAAAGCGGTGTGCGACGACGGACAACATCACGCCGCCTTTCCGCGTCATCGCACATGTGTACAAGCCCCTCACGTCACGCTCGAGGCTTGCCCTCAGCACACGCCGGACCAAAAACGGCAAGACAAAGCATGAGCAAACACGGTTTTCAGGCATGGCCATTTCTTTTCCTGGTTCGCTCGCTACGCACCCGCGATGCACAACCTGTACAAAAGGTAGCTTGTCTAGGTTACTCTTATTCCAACTGCACCGCAAGCCCAAAATTGAGAACAAAGCCTCGTTTTCCACTCCCACCACACGGCCGCCCTCCTCCACCTCAGCGTCGACAGAACATCGGCAGGGGTCGCGAACGGGCACCATTCCCCTCCCCCCGCCCCTCAAACATACCGACCCTTCCACGCCTGATTCCTTGCCCTTTCGTGCACAAGGTGCCTGTCGGCCGACACCCCCGTGCAGCAAGTAGCCGCCCGCTATAGCCATAGTCTACATCCGTCTCTCGTTGTCCCTCGCTCCTCCGGGCCCACCAAAACCTCGCACGGCGGCAGCGGCAGCGTCTGCAGCTGCACCATGTTCCCGTCGCGCCGAGAGGCCGGTTGGAGGTCTCCCGTGCTGCTGCTGCTGCTGTTGCTGCTGCTGCATGCTTCTCACATCACCTTTACTCATGCGGCACCATCCTTTTCCGTCCAGCAGAGGGTCTCCCGTGTTGTTACCGCCGTTACCCTTTCCCACGGTGGACGCGTCATCTTCATTAAGCATATATTTAAATGATTCATTTCTTCCCCTTCTTGCCCGGGCGGGGCAGGCGTACGCCGAGCGCCCTCTCGAGCTTGCTGATCAGCTGCGGGTTGGGGATGGCCTTCCCGCTCTCGTACTCGCCCACCACCTGCGGCTTCTCGTTGATTTGCTGTTCAGCGGACAGGTTGGGTGGGAAGATGGCGGGGCCAAGGGTATCAGGCGTGGTTGGTGCGGAGACGACAAACAAAAGGACACGAGACCCAAAAAAAACAGCAGGACAGGGCGGGAGGGGAAGCCGGCGGAGGCGAGAGGGATCGGGGGATATTTCGATAATAATAGTGCCGTAGAAGATCCACGGTAAAGCTCTGAATAAGGCCAGGAACAGAAAAGGATGTAACCAGGACACGCGCGCAGAGGGGATTTTCGGCAAGCCATTCGACGCAAGCCAGTACCTGCAGCAGAGCCAAAAATTCCATGCACCCTCGACAAAAGGCAACAAAACGGGAAGCGCCACAAGAAACAAAACTAAAACACGGCCGACACGCTGCCCGTCTCGCGTCATCCGCGTTCCCGATCGAACCTATCGCAAAAATTATGGGCAGCACACAGCCTCTGCTCCTGACCCCTGCCAGAGGCTCTTGAGATGCTCTCTCGAATTCTGGCCGTCGCGCGGGTCCGTTGGTTACAATTGTAAAAAAAAAAACGGACCCAACGAAACAGCCAAGAAAAATAAAAAAGAAGCAAGTACTGTGCAGACTGAGAAAGAAAACAAGAACAGGCCCGACTACATTTCATCACTCACCGTCGCAAGCTGCTTCTGCGTCATCTTTTTCCCTAGACGTGCCTGCTGGATTGCCTGAGCTAGCCCGCGGTCGACGCGTGTGTCTGCGCACAGGGGATACGCGCGCGGCAGCGGGGGCTGGGGGGTTGTACTCGTAGTCGTGCATGCCGTAGTCGTTAGAACATTGACCTCGCATCCCCACAAAGCCGGGATGGAGCACGCCCGGTTCTCACCGGACCAGGCTCTCACATCACCGAGCGCGAAGCGCCGTGAGGTATTCGGCGAGTCGCAGGAAGGGTGCGCTGCATCCTGCTCAGGGTGTTCGGCATCTAGTGCTCACTTCCTTGAGTACGTATGACAGCTGCGTATGACTGAATATATATTTCTGGTGCTTCACTTCCAGAGACAGTTGCAAGCACTGTATAACCGCCTCGAGGGTGCTTGACCATTTTAACACAACGTGGTGCGATCACCCCACTTGCGCGGAGTGAGGGTTCTCCACCCCGCACAACATGACCTACTCGACCACAATAATGGTTACCACCAAAAAAAAAATGTAAAAAAAAACACGGTAACCTGGTTGCCGAGTTCACGAAGTGACTTGGCTTGTTTTACAACGTCGTTGCCACACGACGAAAACCCAATCCCGATGGCAAACACCGATGGGGGGAGGAGGGGGGGGTTCAATCGGACCTAGGAGCAACAACGAGAGACGAGGTCACAAGGACAAACAACGTCGCATGCATCAATACTGAGCGTCACCTATAAAACCAAGGCCACCACGAGCATCAGCCCGGGTGCCGGTTGAAACAGAGAGAGCACAAAGCCCCCCCCCTCCCAAAAAATAACATGGTGACAACGTCAGCTTAACATGCATTATCTTAAGAAAAAATCGTGCGTTGTTGGAGAAAGCAATGTCCTTGGTACACCTTTTCATGTGGGACCGCTGCATGGCCTTACCCCCTTCTTCTCCAGCCTCATCGCACATACGTACCGCTTGTGGGCTCCGTCGGAGACTAAAAAACCCCGAAAATTCCGAAAGCTGGGCCTTTTAAGACAAGACAAGACACCAAAGCCACTCCTCCACCAACCACGCTTTCCGACGCAAGGCCGGACCGCTCCGAAACTGGCAACGGCCGAAACATCAAAGAATGACACCGAAAGCCCGAGCTTTCCACACACCATACACAACACCACATATCGCGTTCCAGACGCTCTACGCTACAGGCTTTCGCCGAAAAAGGACACAGCAATCGTTGAGGAGGCAGAGGCCCCACCGCACGAAGGAGCACTCACGCTGGAACTCCTCCGTCTCATCGTCGAGCTTCTTCATGTTCATGTGACCCCGGTGGGAGCTCTTGTTCTCCCCTGCGGCGAACTTGCGCTCTGTGTCCAACGTCCCCTGAGATTTGTCGAACAAAAACGGAGGAGGGGGCGGAATGCACCCGGGGGGGGGGGGGGGGNCGCCGGGTTCTCACCGGACCAGGCTCTCACATCACCAAGCGCGAACCGCCGTGAGGTGTTCGGCGAGTCGCATGAAGGGTGCGCTGCATCCTGCCAAGGGTTTTCGGCATCTTGTGCTTACTTCCTTCCGTACGGATGACAGCTGTGTATGACTGAATATATTTTCTGGTGCTTTCACTTCCAGAGACAGTTGCAAGCACTGTGTAACTGCCTCGAGGGTGCTTGACCATTTTACCACAACGTGTTGCGATCACCCCCCTTGCGCGGAGTGAGGGTTCTCCACCCCGCACAACATGATCTACTCGACCACCATCATGGTTACCGCCAAAAAAAAAAAACAGAGGTTAAAATAACAGGGTAACCTGGAGGGGGGGGATTCATGGCACAGGGAGGGGGAGGATGGGGGACAAGCTAGACTGAACGTTTGTCCTTGGTCGCGTGGGAGATACCGGGCCTGTTGGTGCGCCTGGCGTAAACCTTGGAACAGAATAGTGCTACGACGACGCTCCCGCTTTTGACCACTGCTGCGTTGTTGTTTGTCGCTGGAATTGTTGGCCTCTGCTGTTCCTCTACGCGACGGCCGCCAGAGTGGAAGGCGGGCATCACGGTACAGGAACAAGTATTGTTGAGCCCAAGGGAGACGGCACATACCAGAACCGAAAACTCTGTACCAAGGACAAGCCTTCGGATGGGCCGCTATCCTGCTGAGTCAACAAAAGACGCAAGTCATGATTTGTGAGATGACACATTGCGAGGGGGGGGCGCCTCCTGTGTTTTCAACAGCACTTGAGACTGACATGTTTTCACTGGTCAGCTGGCTAGCGTGGCCAATTGCGATGACAATAAAAACACACACAGAACACAGCAGAAGAAGGGACCAGGGAAACGACGAACACAAGGACACACTTACGCTACGTGCCGCGGCCGCAGTGGCGGCGTTCTTCTGGCCACGTGTCGCCGTGGGGCGGGTCTTGGAGATCATCACGGTGTTCCAGTCCTGAGACATGATGGCAAGCAGAGACTCTCGAACGGAAGTGTGCTCGCAAGCCCGGAGATTCTGCAGGAGGGAAGAGAGAGGAAGGGATTATTGAACGTAAGCTTCTTCGTAACGGGTGTACATTCAGTAGTGGGTGTGATGCCAAAACGAGCGCCGTCATCCGCCGTGTGCTATTTCTCCGCAAAGCACGGACGGCAGCAGCGGCGGACGCCATCCGAAAGGGGTCTTCTTGGTTCGAGTTGATGGATAGGGATGGGTCTGCAGCTGCACAACCACCTTACAGCAGTATCGTTCCCCTCGAACGCTCTTCTTCTGACTGAGTTCCACAACGCGTCGGGGGAAAACACGCGGATCGGTCTCCATGACTTTTGACAACACTTGACAGCAGTACCGTACAATAGATGAGAGGGGTGGGAAATCCACGAGATACCCTGAGGGATGTCTGGGTTTGCGGTTTTTGTATTGCTGCCGTACCAAAGGTCGGGTGGGAAACAAACTAGTCCTGGGGATTTGTGCCCGTCTATCCGTAGGGTAAAAGCCTACGCGAGGGGGAAGGTCGTGCGTCGCCTTGCGTGCGTCGCCTTGTGTGTGTAACTTGTCCGCAGAACATGGGTGTTGGATTGGAGAGGGGTTCGCGACACACCGTACAAACACCGCCAACGCTATGTCGAACGAATACCCCTACCAGCGATCACGACCTTATCTTTGTTCATCCCTCCTACTTTGAACTCATCGTCGTGCTCTATCATCGCTCTACCGCTCTACCCGTCTGCGGCGGGCTACGTAGGTATCACGTGTTGACGCCCACGGGGGCGGCGCAACACATATTTCTCAACCCGGCCAGGATATGTACAGACCTCGGCCTCTCAAGCACTGCATGTTTCTCAGCATCGGGAAACCAAAACTATGAATCACGAGAGAAGACGAGACGCGGCCATAGCACGCGCGCGTGAGTCGAGGGTCCTCACTGCTGTGGGGGTACGCGCCCCGTCTGGCAGGCAAGTTGCAGTTGTGGACTTCGAGTTGCATTGCAAGCAGCAGTAGGCACAATCCACTTTTGCAACGGAAAGTGCCTGGCTTCTGACACCAAACCGCAGAGCAGCACACTAGCACGAGCCCGATTCTCTCCGCCAAAGTAGCCCTCGGTCCACGTCGACCTTGAGGTTGGGGCGGAACACGGAGCGGTCAACAGCTCTGGACATGTCTCGGACCTTTGCTTGAATGTGTTTTCTCTGGAACCTTCTTTGGCCCGCCCCGCCGGTTAGGGTGAAGAAGCGTCGTCAGACGGACCCTCGACCTACCGACCGAACAAATAAAACTGGGGGGGCAGGATTTGAGAAGGAAAAGGGGAGGACTCTTACCTAGAAGAGGTGAGCGGAGGCAGAGGCTGGGCTAATATATTCCAAGCTGATCCGGCGTCGAAGGCAAGGCAAGTGACTGACATGGCGAGGGCCGAATGGAGAGGCTCCGCGGAATCACGAGCGGGGCCACGTACACGTGTTCGTTCTGCCCTCAATAGTGGGACTGCCGCTTATTTCGGGCTGTGTGGTAGCACGCTAAACCACTTCGGAGTGCCCGTACATGCACCTGTGCCTACTGACCTTGAGGTGTACACCGCTTGGTGCCTGCAATTGACGATCTCTTCCTTGTTGTTCTCGATGGTATCTCTATAGCAGCAAGCAGCAGATGAGATCCCCCTGTATCGTACCGGTGCCGGGGTTGCTATATGTACTGCCGGTGTTTTCGGCGGGCACACACCAGTGTCAAAGGCATTCTCAATCCTTTGAAGAGTGCTGGTCCGGTGCAATGGTGAACATTCTGGGCACACAGACCGGCACTAAACAGGGCCTCTACTGCTGTAATCGTCTACAACTGACTATTGCTAGCCATACTTCATCGCAGTTTGGCTGAATCAATGGCTGCAGGGGGAGTTAAAAGAGAGGAAATGCGGTGGTTTGGAATGGCTTCGTATCAATGGGTTTTGGGGGAGACATCGAGAAACGCGGGGTCGCGGTAGACAGTCAGATGCCTTTTATTTTGCCCCCCCCCCCCCTAGGCGTGTGTGAACAAGCTCAAGTGCCACAAAGCAGCAGGAGCGGATGGGATAGTCAACGAGTTCATGAAGTTTGGGGGGAAGGGGATGATCCAGCTGATGGTACTGCTATACAATTGGGTGTGGAAAAACGAGTATACGCCAAGTAGATGGAGGGAAGGAGTGGTTGTGAACTTGTTTAAGAAAGGAGACAAGACTGACCCAGGAAACTACAGGGGGAT